TATATATATATATATATATATATATATATATATATATATATATATATATATATATATATATATATATATATATATATATATATACAGATAGATAGATATTGATAGATAGATAGATAGATATAGATAGATATAGATAGATAGATAGATAGATAGATAGATAGATAGATAGATAGATAGATAGATAGATAGACAGATAGATATAGATGTAGGTATAGATATAGAGATATATAGATATATAAATCTATATATCTCTATATTTCAATCCGGAGAATATATATACATATATATACATATATATATATATATATATATATATATATATATATATATATATATATATATATATATATATATATATATATATATATAGGTAGATAGATAGATAGATAATAGATATGTTAGTTGTGTAATTGTACACTCTGTAATATGTTAAGATGAAAATGTTCTAGAGTGTGTATTATATAATTTCTATACCAAGCGCAAGCAGAAAGATGTTGTCTGCTGCGGCTAGGTCGCGGGTTCAAGACCATGCCGCGGCAGACATCTTTCTGTTTGCGCTGGGTATGGAAATTATATAATACACACTTTAGAACATTTTCATCTTAATATATATATATATATATATATATATATATATATATATATATATATATATATATATATATATATATATATATATATATATATATATATATGGGAGAGAGAGAGAGAGATAAACAAAACAACAAATTTCAATCTTAAAATTTTATTTCATCGCTACACAGTGTTTCGCGTACAGCATACGATCATCAGGCGATTAATGTTAATTATATATGACCTTTGTTATGTGAACCTTTGAACTTTGTTTGGTCATTAAGATTAGGATGCGCACGCACCTATGGACAATGCACAATGAACAATGAACAATGCACCTTGTCTTATGTAAATAGATATCGATACGCACGTTCATTCGAGAGATTTGATACATATAGCACGCACTGGGGAAACATTAAAGGATATTAAGAGATATACGTATTAAAGTTTTACTTGTTGTGGATCTAATCAAGCTGTCCCCCTAACGGCCTCGACGATCCCGGATGTTGCTATATAATAACAACGAATAAAGAGGTCGTTTTACATTGGTGGAGGATGCAGGCACAATGGCAGATTATTTGGTTGTGAACCAGAGGTCGTGAACTGTGAACTCCGAATTGTGAACCCTGAACGTACTGTGACCAAGGATTGATGATCTAATCTAAATATAAAGCGAGCCAGTAGGCAGTACGGATACTCGATTGTTCATGCTAAAGGAATGACTCAGGTACGCGTCATTTACGACCTTGTTTGTTTGGCTAGTTGGCAATAGGCAAGGAAACGCTTGTTGTGTCAATACATTTCCTTCTTTCGTTAGTGATCTGCAAAGCTTGGTAAAAGCTTGGTTTTGCATATCTGTAATATGTAGGGAGACTAGCGAGTGCGAACTGTGTAACGTGAATATTTCTTTTTTTGGTATTTTGTTGATATATATATTTTGTGTCGTTAACTGTAGTATTTGTAGACATTATATGACGTACCATATTCGAATTAGTATTTAGTATCATAGCTATATATATTCTTGTTCACCGTGTCATTTATGGGCCCTATTACTCGCAGTCGCAGTCTTGCTACTGCTCACTCTGAGCTAAATAACACGTCGGTAAAAGCAGTTGGTCGATTGAACATGGTTGAGAGCGCGCAGCCCGACATTGCGGACAAATTGTCTGAACTGCTAAAAGCTGTTGAAAGGTCAATTAAGGCGAGCGAACAAAATAAGGAGACTTTAACAGAAGCCCACGAATTAGGCACTCGCAAGCATACAGACTTAATCAAATCACAACAAGAACAACAGGTACAACTTGCAACATTAATCTCACAAAGCACATTACAGATAGGACCAGCGATTCACCCGACACCTTTTTATGGAAAACCCACAGATGACCTTCTGTCATTTATATAAGCCATTTCGAAAGGTTCTCGAATTTCTGCGGTTGGAATGACGACCAACGTCTTAGAGCTTTGCTACTTTATCTACAGGGTAATGCTAGTTCATGGTATGCAAGTTTTGATTCAGAAACATTTAAATCATATAATGATTTAGCTATTGCTCTTAAAGCCCACTTTACTAATCTTGCTTCTATTTGGCTGTGGCGCCAGCAACTGTCTGCTCGAAAACAGGAGGAACATGAGTCCTTGTCTAACTATTCCTCTGACATTAGGCATTTATGCAAACGTTTGGACCTTACTGATTTAGATGTAATGCACTATTTTATTCAAGGTCTTCGCCCTGATCTAAAAAGCCATGTTATCTTAGGGCAGCCCAAAAGTTTATCAGAGGCTGAAAATCTTGCGAACCTTAAGGAGTCTGTGTTAAAACATACACCTGATTTCACTCAGCAAAAACTCGAAAGTCAGTTGCAGTCTGTAGTAACAAGTTTGGAACGCCTTACAAAGGCGCAACAAAACAACATATCAAACAGTGTTGCCGCCTATAATCATGCACTTCAGATGTGACCAACATCATGGGGGTCAGTCCACTCTCTTAGGTCGCAGATATGATTCAGATCACCTGGCTAAGTTGGTTTGAGACGAAGAGCGTCGACAAACCAGGTTCATAGCACCAACAACCAGGCCTTCAAATTCAGGCGTACCATCTTTTCGCAACCGCCATACTACCGATGGATTACCTATATGCAATAAGTGTGACAAAGTTGGTCACATAATTGCTCGCAGTTGTAGGAGTATTGGTAATCCCCATGCAACACATCCTTTACATAACCAAACCTCTCGCCCAAATGCACCTACTTTTCGACCAAATGCACCTACTTTTCGACCAAATGCACCTACTTTTGGCAATCAACAAAGGACTAACAACCCATTTCACCAGCAGTCGGGAAACTAGTTGCAGCTTCTTTATACCGGGATGATAGAGCGGTGAACTATTTACAGCAAATTAATTAAATTCAATGCCTCGTAAAGGATCAACCCAATAATGTTAAAAACTCTTTTAATGAAACTAATGATATTCCTGTTGCAACTCTGGTTAATTTGGAAGTAGAAGAACTTAGACATATAGATATCTCAAGCCCACCAGTATATAAGGAAAATATAGAAACCATACACCCTGATCTTGTGGATATTGATTTCAGTTTATGTACAGACAAAACTCATAGTGTTTTAAATAAGAAAAAGGCTCCAGCTAGCCAATCGATAATAAATTGTGATACATTGACAACAAATGATACAGATAATTCTAAAGTGACCGATTCACAGTGCATAAATGTACCACAGCATTTTGACATTGATGTTAGACAACCATTTGTTTCTGAATATAGTACCATAGATGTACCAGTGTGTGATGACCTAGTAGATTTATCCCCATGTGAAGTTAAAGGAAATGAGATGCAAAGCAGCGAAATTGTTTTCAATACTGATTTAGAAGGAATAATATTTCCTGTTTCTAACCCCACTGAGAGTTATATTGATAAGCCTGTTCCTGAATCGTCGATAACATTTCAAATTGGTGAATTCAAGTACCCTGACTATGCCTGTATTGTTGATAACTTGGCTTATGATGTAATATTTGGTGCAGATCTCTTGACGCATATATTATCAATCTGTTATCAACTCTGACACTGGAGAATTGCAGGTACCCCCTCCTACGGATACACCACCACCTACGGATACACCACCACCTTGTCCGATACCTAGTCAAGTGGGAAGGATATATAGGCCAAAACACAATTCATGGGTTGACGAGACGGACGTAGTACAAACTAACGCCAACGAACATTGACAACTGACTATGCTTTGCCTTGGCCTATTGAAGCTTTCGCCTTTCGGATCATTTTGCTCTAAATTGAACGGTATTCGTCCTCCCCATTTTTCGATATGACTATATGCTTCTCTCGACGAACACTTAGCTCATTATTTCCCCCTTCTCTTTCGGACCGACACATTGTAGTTATGGTATAGCGATTACGGTATGGATTATTTTGTCGTTTGTGAGAAGAGAATAGTGAGAGCGTCCAGTTTTGTACAAATGTGTAATATATGTTAATCATTGTGTATCATGTGTTATGTCTCATTCGTTTTGTCCTTTCCTTGACACAACAAAGAAAACAAATCACTTGTTACCATCTTTTTGGTACTTATCTCCGTCAACATGCCTTACAGATTAAGGTTTGTACTTGTTCGTATTTGAGCATTCATTATGAACTATCGAAAATGAACTATCCCGGCCAAGAATGTCAAGAATAGAGTTGCGAATTAAAAAAAGAGAACACTACAATTCTGGAGCGATAGCACATTGACCGAAGTCCAAGGTTGTGGCAGCACAAGCCAGGAGCACAAAGAAAACTATTACTGTGGAACATTTTTTTCTATAATTTTGTTTAATAATTAAATAATTAAAAAAAAAGAAGGAAAAGAAAACCAGGAGGTTTTCAACTAAAGATGGGAGATATGTAAGAGGACCATTGACCTTTGTTATGAGAACCTTTGAACTTTGTTTGGTTATTAAGATTAGGATGCGCACGCACCTATGGTCAATGCACAATGAACAATGAACAATGCACCTTGTCTTATGTAAATAGATATCGATACGCACGTACATTCGAGAGATTTGATACATAGCACGCACTGGGGAAACATTGAAATATATTAAGAGATATACGTATTAAAGTTTTACTTGTTGTGGATCTAATCAAGTTGTCCCCCTAACGGCCTCGACGATCCCGCGTGTTGCTATATAATAACAACGAATAAAGAGGTCGTTTTACAATTATCTCGCAATAAATTACAACGGCTTACGCTGACGCGCTTAGATTGCTAACGCAAGCAGCGGCGTAGCCAGCTCGATAATTGGGGGGTCCATATTCATATACTTGTGCTCTGCATTATTAATTTCTTTTGAAATCGATTGTTTTTAAGGTCTGTGAACACGAATATATGAATATGGACCCCCCTAATCATCCGAGCTGGCTACGTCGCAAGCATTTAAATATGTTTACTTGCGCGCGCGCTTGAAATTAGAAGCTTTATAACTAGGTAGGTAGGTAAAACTTTATTTAACTACGCTAACCCCTACAGCGAAGGCTGATTTCCAAAGGGGGCGTAGATTTAAATAGTTAATAATTAATACAAATTATGGTCATACATTACATTACAGTTAACAACAATTACAATAATTTACAAATACAACGAGTATATAATTATTTACATACTAGAAAATACATGCATGCAGAAACCCTCGCCTTGCTGACAAAACCATTGTATTTTCCAAACATGAAGTATCCAAAGTTGTTGTCATGGTAATAACACGATAATTTTTTAAGAATATTCTTACAAATAAAAAATTGCCTAAAAATATCAATTTTAATTACAAAATTATCAATTTCCCAACATATATTTGTTAGGTATGTTATTATAAGTAATATAAGCTTCAATTTAAGGTAAAATTCAACCACAAAAGCTTCGCAAAACGTTTTAAAACGTTCTTTATAAAACTAAATTGCCTGGCTTTAATTAAATGGCTTTATCGATAAACTTTGAGTTTGCAACAAAATGATTTCAAATTCTCGCATGCAAATAACTTTGCTTTCTTTTTAGTAAAAAAATTCAATATAATAAAAAAGGAATCAATATTAATAATACACTGAATTGACTGAAATTATATGCCGTCTTGTTTAGTTATTTCATATACGCAAAGGGCCAAAGGCCGTCAGGTTTTAAAGCAATTATAAAATCAATATTTAACACAAACTTACCTTCGTTAACGTCGGATCCCTTCTTTTAGCCGATTCTTTCGCCGTTTCTATCTTGAAATTTACAAAATCTTGCAAAAATGCGAGTAAAATTGAAGTATATTTGCAAAAAATTTATCAATCATCAAATCTGTGATCAAATCAAGAAATGTTTGCTATTTCGCTGTCGTCATACAGTCGTTATGATGCAAACTTTAAATTGGACCAATCAGTGTCCGCTATTCATGACAGTCCGCCATATTTTTGAGATCAGTGAGGATGACCAGCCACTCAACACCGTTGGTCACCCACGCCCGCGATACTTGATGAACTTTAGACTCCGCTAATGCTTTCGTTTCCCCGGGTGTAAATAGCCGGGGGAAATTAGTACCCTCGCACGGCGCTTCGCGCCGTCGGCTCGGGGATTAAATTAATGTTAGTAGTATGCAATATTTTTGATTAACGTAATTAAATTAATTAATTAATTGGCCAGGTGTCGTATACATGAATTAAACGAAGCAAGAGTGTGTTTGTTTCTTGCTTCATCAGAAAGGCTGTTCCACAATTTCGCTCCTCTATAACTAAGACTTTTTTTAAGATATTCAGTCTTAGGTTTG